TCCCTGTGTGGCAGGACTCGTGACGCCTCAAATGGTAGCTGTCCCTGAAAGCTTTGCTGCAGTAAGTGCACACAAAGGAGGTTTTAGGTTTTTCCTTTTTAATCCCAACAATAGCATCCTTTAATGTTTCTGTTGCAGGCTGAGGTTTCTGCGTTATTGGTAAGGGCAGAATCGGCTTCTGATCGGGCGGCTCAACAGCAGAGCTCAGGAGAGGCAACAAACTGTTCTGTGCTGCCTGCTGTTGGTGATGGGAGGCTTCGTGTGCCTAAAACCAAACATTCACACTTAAATTCTCTGGATGGGTGCTCGCTCTGGCACGGTGAGAACATTTACAAACGACAGGGAAGCACATTCTAGACCAAAAGCCATGGAAGGAACAACAGGGGAAGGTTACATAATGCTGGTTTTGGACAAGATAAACCGCTCGCGCTGTAAATGCCCTGGCTGTGCAGGCCCTGTGGTAAGTGTAGGACACAGCACAACCATCAAGGAATTATTAAGTTTCTGGAGGGCAACTTTTTAAGGAAGACAACTAGGTGCTTGTCAGATCTTTTAATAACAGCATTTCATCTTTACATAACAGATAACTCATTTTGCTAATGATCGTATCAGATGGCACAACAGGACTATCTCTGGAGAGGATGAAGGCACTGACAGGAGTTGCAAAATAAGGCCCCACCTTTAAGCCGAGCTTAGTGCAGAGTGAGAATTGAACCGCAGCCACAGAGAGCCAGGATGCGATAAGGCGTCTTATTTAAACAGCGTGTTCATACCCCTGTGCCAGCACTGAAACCAAAGCAACTGGGATCGGGAGCTGTCTAAAGCCACATCTCTATATTTAGCAGGTTCCTGATGCATTTATCCACTGACCACTGTGCTCTCTGCGTCTGGAACTAACAAGAATAGCGGCACGGCCTTTTTCTCTTCGTCAGCAGCTACTTTGTGCTGGGAAGAGAAGCTGATCGATACACTCTGGGAGACATCCAGAGATGCTGGAGAACACGGTTTGGGGTGTTGGGAATAAACCCTGAAAGCTGTTTGAAAGCAGCCAATACCAACTAACTTTGAATTACAGAATCTGTGGCAGAAGCTACAGGGAAGGGAAGGGGGTCCCGCAGCCAGCACCGCTCAGCTGAGCTGCAGCCTGCCTGCCACGGGCTGTGCTGCACCACGCGTGGTTATTCTAAGGCAGAAACGCTGTTATTAAAACTCATCCAGTCAGACTGGGACAAAACCCTGGCAGATACAATTTTAATGTGGTTTAGAAACCACACAGACCAATTCAGCCTAATGGAGCATTAAAATAAATCACTCCAGCACCTTAAGCCAGTTTAAGTGCATCTGTATTCAAGATGCGCCTCGGTCTCATCAGACCAGTTTTAAATCAGGCTCGTTATTAATGCAGTGTGCCAGGCCTGAAGCTGAGTTTGGGGAAACTTGCATTCCCATTAGATCAGTACCACAGCCTTCCAGGACTCCTTTCCTATGGCTCTCCTCTCAAAGTAACATGACTCAAAGGTGTGAGAGCTGAATAAAACACTGTGCCAGTGCACAACCCTGACCTGTCTACTTTTACATCAGTTGGGGTGGACAGTACTGGGAAGTGCACTCGGGCTAATTCTCTTCCCATGGGAATCCATTTCAACATGTCCTTTGGACAAGCCAGTATTTCCAGAAGCTCACTTTGGGCCTTTTTCCTAGTTGTATCCTGGGTGCTTTGCCTGCCTGGATCGCAGCAGGGACCACAGCCCCCCCAGAGCATCTCTCCCTTGCTGTGGTGCAGCTCCTGCATCACTCCAATCTCACTTTTTGGGAGCGTGATGCTGGTGATCTTTGGAGAAAAGCCATGGGCGGATACCAACACTAACCCACGTGGGAAGGAATACAAGCTCTCAAACACTCCAAGCCTATGTGACAGGAACAGTTCACAGGAGAAAGCCTGGACTCTGGACACTAACCGGAGACAAAACTTGTGGGAATCATTAGGAGCCAGGCCAGGCTGTCCATCTGTATCTGCTTTTTAGATCCGTCTGTGCTGAAGCTCGGGATGCAACAGGTAGGCTGGATATCAGCACACCTGCCTGGCCACAGCAGCCACCTCAAACAACAGCCCGAGGGCTGCTTTATTCCAGGGAGCGATTGCTGAAGAGCTGCATCCAGAACTCTCCTGGAGGCGACGCTGCTAAATCAGGGCACGGCACAAGCCCCAGCAGCTCCATTAAACTTTTCCCTGACTTCAGTGACAATTGTGGATGTTCAACCATTTATTTTCCATGTTTTTAAAAAGGTTTTGACACATCTACATTGCATGAAAATAAGAGTTTGCAGGATACGCACCGACAGCACAATACTGAGCAAGTTGTGCACTTCAACACAATGTTAACTTAGAAAAATTCTGAAATGTTTTACAACTTCAAATTGGCATTAAACAATACTGTTAAACCGCACCAGAAGACACTGCAGAGCACCTAATGATAGCTCCAGAGATACAATTTCAAAGGCAGAGCTAGCAGATCAGATAATGGAGAGCCCAAATCCTTTGGACAAGGTTCAAACTTAGGCAGTTTATGGATATTTTTATGCCTCAAAGAATCGTCAGCACTTCAAGGTAATGATGCACTTATTCCTACAGATCTGATGGAGACAGTGGACATAAAACAATGTACATTCATCAAGCTACAGGCTATGGAGCTGCTGCTTATATAAGTCTGCTTATCCTGGTTCCGAGGGAGCCAGCACTGCTCGCAGCCCCTCTGCCACGAGCTGTGTTCCTCAGTTTCCAAGGGCCGTTAAAGCCTTTTTTAAAAGGATCAGCCAGCATTTTTTTTTAACTCCCAGTTGGAGAAGGGAAGCCAGCACCTGCTGCACGCCTCTGGCAGGCGCAGTCATGCAGGCTCCAGCCACGGTTTTACTTTTTTACTTGACCCAGCATTAACGTCAAGTCAACACTTTGGAGATATTTTGATGGCCTGGGACAGGCTCTCCTGCAAAATCCCCTTGTTCTGTCACTAATTCCTTCTCTCCTGGGGGGGCAGTAAACAAAAAAACCCTGCAATTCATGACCCAGAGTGTAGGATGTGGCATTGTGAACTTCCAATGCCAGAGGCTAAAATATTTTTGTGCTTCAGCCTTAATGTGAGAGCAACAAATTAGCATGAGTCATATCTTGAACACTCCATCTGATGGATGAGTCCTCCTCACATTAACAGATACAACTTTCACTTCCCGAGCACATCCTAAAAGTGGTTTTCCAACTATGCATTTTGGGGACTAAGAAGATCCAAACAAGAACTGCTTATTCAGTAGCGCGATTGTTTCTTTAGAAAGGGATACAATTCATCAAAATGCCACCTAAAAACAATCAAACAACTTTATTTGGAAGGAACGGTTTACAGTCGCACAGCCCACTGCCACAGGACTAAAATTAAGACATCGAAACCTCCTCTAAAAACATTTGGCTAAAAATTACAACTTCATATTCCACATATTAAGCTGTCCCTTAGGAATCCTGTCCCAGCTGGAACGCACACTTGGTTTAACACTCCCCCCAGGAAGAACAAGTGTGAATATTCAGTCATTTCCATTTGTTATTTAACTGACACTGGGGACAGGCTTTTAAATCCACGCTTTTTAACTAGTTTTAACTAATCAGCTGGATCGGGGCTGATGTGCTGCTGTGGGAATGGGAAGAAGAAAAATGAAAGTCACATCAGGACTACCTCAGTGCTGCTTTCTGCTGGGTGCATTGGCACGCTCGCACCCCAAATCACTGATTCTAACAAAACCACTCAAGAAACAATATCCAGCACTTATTATGAGCTCTGAAAGCTTTATTATTTAGAGAGGGGGAAAAAAAAATCAGAGGAAAATTTCCACGTCACAGTTTTATGAAGATGCTTCCGAGTCGCACGTTCGGAAAGCGAACTGCTGACTCTTTAATTAAAAGCAGCAAAGCTGACTCCTAAATCAGCGTGTGACATCACTACTTCAAAACTCAGCACCTTCAGAAAAGCACGGACGAGCAGCGAGGAGCTGGACACGTACTTGAGGCATTACTTGGCATTTCTCAGCCTGCTGCAATACAGTCCTGCCAGCCTAGGAAAAATTTCCCCTGGAAAACGCTCAGCTGGGAGGCAGCAAGGCACTAAAGCAGCCCCGGCTCGGAGGGAGATGGCCCTAAACTAAGGAGATTAACTTCTTAGCGTGAAGTTTCCTACGTGCGAATCACAACTGCCCACTAGAGTGGGAAATAATTCACCAGACCTCAGCCCAACTCGATGGCATCGCCCGCATCCATGGGGAAAAGGCGGAAAACCCAGCGCCCAGCTCCCGGTACCGGCTCCCCGGAACATTCCCGGCGTGTTTTCCGAGGCAGAGAACCCGAGCGAGTGACTCATCCCTTGGTACTTGCAAGGGACGAATTTTTCCTCCCTAAAGGAATGGTGCTCTCGCTCTTGGCGGATTTATTCATTCAACTCAGGTTTTCAAACTCGTGTCACGGGTTGGGTCTGGGTTTAATTCCGGGGAGGACAGTGAGGAAGCGAGCGGCCGCCACCGGGAACGTGCAAAGAGGATTATTTTACCTTGAGAAAGGTGATGTGCTGGGCGCTTTTTTTTTTTTTTTTTTTTTTTTTCCCTCCGCTGCTGCTGCTGCAATCACACATTTTATGTTTTCCAGCGCAAAAAAAAAAAAAAAAAAAAAAAAAAAAAAAAAAAATCCAGGAGAAAACAATCTGGTGAGAAAGAGCTGGCGAGGCTCACAAAAGCCAGGCAAAGATTATTTTTTTTTTTTTTTAGTTTTTTTTGCTGGTACGTTGGATTTTCTTCGGAATTACATAAACAGCGGTGTTTTTAAGTCAGTCTTTCACCGACAGAAAGGGGGAAAATTGTGACTCAGTTGGCAAAGGGAGGGGTTGCACGCTCCACCGTCCCTATTCCTCCCCATTCCCGTTAGGATTTCGCCAGTTTTTACAGAAATCCGGCCCGCTCGCGTCCTATTTTAAAAGAAAACAAGCTCCCTCGTCAGCCGGCCCTGAGTCAGGCTGTTTAAAGAGGGATTAATTTATTCTCCCAGACACGGCGTTTGTTCCATCGGGGTTTTGTTGGAGCCCGGTGGAAGCTTGGGGTTGTTTTTTTTTTTTTTCTGTTGTTGTTTGTCTCTTTGGACGAGGGGGGAGAGAAAAACAAGCAAACACCAAAAAAAAAAAAAAATCAAGCGCGATCTCATGTTTTGCGTGGCAAGAAATAAAAATAAACCATAAATACGAACATCGGTGGTTTGTAATGAAAGCGGGAAGGGAGCGCGCTGCGGGGCGGCGGCGGAGGGAGAAAGTGCAGGAGGGAAGGAGGAGAAGCGGAGCCGCGGGGCCGGTGAGGCGCTGCCCGGCGGGCCGGGTCGGGCCGGGCCGGGCCGGGCCGGGGGCGGGCGGGGGNGGCGGGGCCGCGGCCGTGAGGGAGGGAGGGAGAGAGGGGGGGCGCGGGCAGCGCCGCCGCCGCGGGGCCTCACCTGAAAGAGGAACGCGGTCCAGTTGGCCTCCATGGCGGGGGCGGCGCGGCCCCGGGCGGCGGCGGCGGCGGCTGCGGCGGGCGGTCCCCCCGTCGCTCCCTCCCCCGGGCCGCAGCTACATGGAGCCGACAACAAAGCGGCGGCGGCGGCGGCGGCTCAACATGGCAGCGCCGAGCGGCCGCTTCCGCTAACCTCGGGCTGCACCACTGCGGCCCAGAGGGGGGAGGCGGCGGCGCGGCGCCCCGGCGGGGCGGCGATGGCCCGGGCGGCCGCGGCGCCGCC